GACAGTCCAGTGACCTTTTTGCCTGAAATGAACCGACCCAGAGCCAAGGGTCAGTGGCCTGGGCTGTTGGCTGAGGTGCGGGGATTGGGGGCCAAGGCAAGGGCACCCGGAGGCTGATTTGTGGCTCTCCCGGAAGTTGGCTGCATTTGCAGACTGACTGGTAATGTTCTACTAAGTTAATCTGAGCTTACTTCGGTACAGCTTATCACATTATGTTTTCTGATCTTCAGTTTCTGAGTTGTGACACTGGCTTCTGTGGTTATGGCTGGGGGTTGGCATGTTGGTTCATGTTGTAATAGAAATGAGCAGATTCGTTATGGAGCTATTTTATTACAAAACTAAGGATGCTTTTGAACTTGAAAATTTCTCACAAAGCTTTTTTCTTGACGTTCACCCTGGGGGATGTCACCCAGACATGTTCGGGCCTCTGTCACCTCCCAGAATGTTGGTCACATTTGGCTTGGTCTTCCAAGGGACCACCAACGCTGAGCACGGCCTGCTTGTCTTCCCCACCCTTCCCTGCTCGGGCTCTGCACCCTGCCCTGGGCAGGTGGTTTCCTGACTGAGCACCTCTGTCTGGTCCTCTGTAGGTGCAGGTGTGGGGAGGGAGGTCATCAACACTGCCCCAGAGACTGGACCAGGAAGAAGGAAGGGAAACACTTGTTTTGAACACAAAACACTCAGTAATCAGGACTACTTGAATGCAATGTTTGATAAAATAAAAATTAATGCAAAAATACCCTCACAGTGAACCAATATCAAAGCTGTAGATCAAGGTTGGGCCTGGCCTTGCCCTCCTTGCCTCGGCTTGAGCCCAGCCCGTGGGCGTTCTTTTCCATGACCATGTCCATCTCAGGTTTCAGTTTTTCTTTCCTTTTTATTTAGAGGGGGTGGAGGTGGGGAGAGGGTCTCATTATATAGTCCAGGTGACAGGTCAGCCTTGAACTCACTGTATAGCCCAGGCTGGCCTCAAACTTAAGGTCCTCCTGCCTCAGTCTGCTGAGTGCCCATGTTTTAGTTGTCTAATACTGCATCAAAAATCATCCCTGAACACAGTGACTCGTGACAAGTACCACAGCTGCTTTGCCTGTGGTTCTGCAGTCATGATTCTGGTCAGGGTTCTGAGAGGTACCGAAAGGCCACAACAGGGCTGGAAGAGCCAAGGTATTTTCACTCCCATGCTAGAACCTCTGCTGGGAGACTGGAGTAGCTGGATATCTTTCTTCCCGTCCTCTGAATTTCTCTTTTTATAGCCTGCACCAGTGGTGATGAACCCACAGCACACATACGGCAGCAGATTATTTGTATCATTGAGAGGTCTAAAAGGTGCACCATTACTAGCTTAGAATGAGCTTCCTGGGCGGCGGGGGGGGGGGGGGGGGGAGGTTAGGTTCCAAGAAGTTACACAGTGTCACTTCTGCTTCAGTACATTGGTCAAACAAGTGACAAGGCAGCCTAGATTCAAGAGGAAGGAACATAGACTGCACCAATTTTTCCTTTTTTCTGGTTCCCTTTCCCTTTCCCTCTACCTTCCCTTCCCTCCTTTGCCCTCCCCTCCCCTTTTCTCTTTCTGGAGACAGCATCTCACTATGCAATTCAAACTGCTCGAACTCACAGGGATCCTCCTGCCTCAGCCTACCAAGTGCTGGGATTATAAACATGTGCTGTGCCTCATGCCCAGATCTTTCTCTTCTTTTCTCTCTCCCCCACACTTTTTCCTCCTCCCCCTCCTCCTTTTTCTGTGGTACCATAATCAGGGATTGGCCTAGTCTCCAGTCTCCTAGAATAGGTTACAGTGAAGGCTTAAATAAAAATAGACAAGTGGTGTGGTTTTTGGGGGATCCAGGAAGGGTCTCTCTGGGAGTAAAGACCCTGAGCTTTCCAGATCACTTGTAATTATTTGGTTTTCACAGGTTTGGGGTGTGTGCGTGCAGGAAGAGGAGAGTATGAAAGCCCAGAGCCCTGGAAGTTAGAACAAAGGCAGCAAATTTTGCTAATTAAGAGAACTGTTTGCACTATAAGTTGACAGTTTTACTGCTCCTGAATAGGAGGATCAGCTGTGGTATCCTTTTGACTTCAGAGCACTGTGAACACAGGCTTTTCTAACAAAGCTAGAGGTTCCCTGTAGTCAGCAATTTAACCCTGACACAGTCTGGTTCCCAACAGTACTATGTACTGGGGTTTCCAGGGCCTTCACACTAATCTACATCCCTGGCACCCTTTAACATTTTTTAAATTTTAGTTTGACACAGGGTCTTTCTAAGTCTTTAAGTTGCCTAGTCTGTGCTCAAATTTGGAACCCTCCTGCCACAGTCTTCCAGAGTGCTTGGGTTACAGGAATGCTCCATGACATTTGGTTTAACAAAATTCTTTTCTTTCTTTTTTTTTTTTTTGTGGTACTGGGGATCAAACGCACAACCTTATGCTTACCAGGCAGGCACATATGCCACTGAGCTAAATCCCTGGCTGGCCCTAAAATTCTTTTCTTTATAAATTACCCAGTCTGTGGTATTTTGTTATAGTCCAGAAAATGGACTAAGGAGGACAAGGAGGACAGCTAACCCTGGATGACTCACATGAGGAAATTTAGGCTCAGTGTTTTTAGATCTGATTTTTCTTTTCCTTTCCTTTTTTTTTTCTTTTGGTACTGGGAATTGAACTCAGGGCCTTGTGCTTGTCAGATAGGCACTATACCACTGAGCTACATCCCTGACCTCTGGTTTTCAAAAGGAGATGGAAATCCAGATTTTTGCCATACATCCTGCCAATTTTATGTTTATTTATTTATTTTTGAGGTAGGGACTTGCCATGTAGTTGGGCTGGCTTTGGACTTGCTACGTAGCCCAGGCTGGCCTTGAAGTCACGGCATTCCTCCTGCCTCAGCCTCCTGACTACAGTGATTAGTATGTGTGAACACGCTTAGCATCTACCTATTTTATGTTATTTACTTTTTATCTATCAATTTAAAAATGTAGGCTCTAATAGGAAGAAAAGTGATGCGAGGCAATCCAAACTTCTCTGTGCCTGGGAGATGACTGAAGGGTTACCAGCTGTGGCCTCTGACAACTGCCAGGTCTGTCCTCAGACCTCTCTCTCTCGCTTCCCTGAACATCAGCACTTGCTTTGGAATGGCCTTCCAGAACTGCACTTACCACCTGCTCCAAGCTGGTTGGTCCTGTGTTTCTGTTCTTCACTATGAGGCACGAAGTATCCCATCACCTGGGTTAGACACCTGAGGCCTTCTCGGAGCCCCTGCCTTTCCTCCCCGCGGAGCCGGCCCCGTGACTTCCGGCTCTGGTTATGGCGTGCCTCCTCTGCAGTTGCTTCCCTTTGGCTTCAGGCCCTTGGCCTTCATTACCTGGGCTGTTTCCATAGCCCCCTCACTGCAGCCTCCAGTCTCCTCTCTCCCCATCTTTCCTTGTGGGTTCTGTGGTCTGATGTTGTAAACACCAGCTGCTTGTGGCTTTAAGACATTTAAATTGATCAAAATTAAATAAAATGGCAAAATCCGTTCCTTTGTCTTACTCGCCACATTTTTGAGTGCTTGACATGGGGCTGGCAGCTTCTGTGTTGGTCAGCACCAGCGCAGATGGTTTCCTTAGCTGCAGGAATCTGTACTGGAAAGCGTTGCCCTGTGATCAGTTTACTTCCCCAGCCCCTCTGTGGTTGTCATTTCTTTCTGAACATCCCTAGCCTCAGTCACACCCCACCTCACCTCTCCAGCTATACCTCCCATCTTGTTGCCAAACCACACCATTTCCTGAGATTCCTGGCCCTGCGGATTCTCCTACCTGTGTACTTGGGTGCCCCCTGTCAAGCAGTCGGGGCAACCTCTCTCCCCTCCACTGTCCACCTCTCCCTCTGTTCAAGCACTGCACTTGATGGGGGGTTGCAGGCCTCTGCCCAGGACTCTGCCCGCCTGCATCACAGGCATAGCACCTAGGCAGAGCTTTGCTGTAGCACCCCTTACCCTGTGGCTAATGTGTCTGCCTCTTGTTTTCTTCTGCCTGCATTCCTCAGAGGAGGTAGGGACATGTCAGGGACTACTACATTTTGAGAAATGCCCCAGGCTTAGCAACAAGCTTTTATTTGCGAGGAAATGCCTCACTCACATGGGTTTAACAGTAGGGAACTCCATCCGCCCAACTGGCTGTCCAATGCCTAGGAGCAGCTTGCAGGCTGGTTAGAGCCTTCGGGTGGCGGTTCCGTGGTGGGATCCTCCTGCAGTCAGGCATGGTGCCCTGTCCCGTTGCTGCTGGCGTCCCCGTGTGGCGAAAAGAGCACAGCGCACCCAGGGCTCGCTTCCAGTTCAGGTTCCTGGAGGGAGGGATGCTGTTTTTGGAGCCTGTCCTAGGAGGGCGTGGAAGTGACTAAGAAGCACACAGTAAAAGTCCCCTGGGTCCAGATAGGGTCACAGACGCATCCTGGCTGTAAAACTGTGGCCGGGATCATCTTGTACGCACCACCTGGACCCACAGAGGAGTCAGTTCCCTACAAAGCCCAAGGGCTGTTTGGGACAGAGTGTACACCTGAAATAAAACTGGAAAAGTGACCCATCACCCTTCCCAAGAAGGAGTAGAGGTTGCTGGAGAGGCATTCGAGGGCTACTGCAGCCCTCTAGATAAATGCCCTCCTCCCCGCCATCTAGGAGTGGGTGAAAATCAGAAGAGCACCCCAGCCTCTCCTCCATCCTCAGACAGCCACTGTCTACTGCTGCTAAATGGAAAAATCTGACTGACTTCCCCAAGTCTGTCTCCATAGAGCCCCTGTCTTCCAGGTGGACCTGTAGCGTGTAATGCATCCCTTACAGGGATCCCTGCCATGATCCCTTTTCTGTGCAGTGGGTTGGGAGGGGAAGCTGTTCCTGCATGCACATCCCTCCCATCCTCGCCTAGGCACTCTGGAAATGGGGTTAAGGGGCTGGGGGTGCTCCATTCTTCACAGGGGAGCTCTGAATCAAAGAAACCCAGGCCTAATCCCTTCTCTTGTCTTGATTCCAGTAAGCCCTGGGGACCGGGAAGTAAGAAAGTACTCTGGACGGAACAACGGGGACCTCGGGATCAGGACTGGTGCCTTGCAGATGTGGAAAAGCTTTTTCTCCATCTCATTAGTTTGAGCTTTTCCCCCTGTGATGCTCAGACATCAACCAGGCTAGAGCCGGCTGAAAAGGAACTGGTGGGTCTTTAGTGCCCTCTAGTGGGTGTCTTGAAAAGGAACTGATTTTGAGAATCCATTGTTAACTGGGGGACTCTAAGCTCCCTTCCTCAGTGCCCCTGACGGTAGAAAGCACCGAGGAAACCCTCCATTCCAGGGCCTGCGCCGTTATTTAAGGCCGCAGGACTCAGAGCTAAGGCATGTTATAAGGGTGCTGGAGAAAAATCGTTTCCTGAGAGGAGTGGAAGCTGGTGGGAGAGGGAGAAGGGGTTGGTGGGACCCCTGGGGAGCGGGAGAGCAGAGGGGAGTGGGAAATGTGTTTGGGGAGTCTCTCTCTTGGAAAGACCCAATCTTGAAGTCCAGGTCGATTGTGAGTTCGTTTCTTCTCAGAAGGATTAATTCCTCCTTGAAATTGTTCTGACACTTCAGTAATGAAATATGCATATGTGAGAAAGGTGTCTTTGGGAGAGATTCAAGGGATAGGATGATGAAGGGAACCCTAGGTGCTCCGTTTCCACTTTCCAGAAGGGAGTCATCAGCTGCTGAGAAGCTGAGAGGTTTATGGGTGCAATTTACCTTTGCTCTACAATGGCAAAGAAATAGCAGAAATAAACCAAAGGGTGCGTGCTGGAGACAGATAAGTGGTGTCTTCTGGTGGCACCCAGAGAGTAGAGAGTTGAGAAGGGGACAGGTGCAGTGGTTGCCTGCCCTGTTGTTCACTGGCGCTCAGTGCAGTGTGTGGACTCCGCCCCATGCCCTCTTCCCTCTCAGTGCCTCTTGGTGCTGTGGACACCTAAAAGCAAATGCCACCCTGCTGTAGCAGTGCGGTGTGCTGGGTCCCCAAACAGAGGTGCTTATGCATGGTGGGGTGCTGGTGCTATGGGGGACACTATTTCCTACTCCATCTCCACTGACCAGCAAGCTCGGGTCAGGTGGCTTCAGCCTCTGCACTGGGTTCCAGTGTCCGGTTGTGAATGTCGTAGGTTCTGGGCAGGTAGTTGTGGTTGGAAACTCAGCTGCAGCCACTCCTGATCCTGAAGGCAACATGGTGGTCTTGCCAGGTCACTGCAGTGCACAGTCCCACGAGCAGGGAGCCTCCTGCCTGTTTGCTCTCTAGCTGCTTCCGTCTCACTCATGATTTCACAAGCATCCTATTCCTTGGGTTTCACTGTTTCTTTTTTTCCTAGAATGGTTTGTTTCCAGTACTGCTGGTATAGTGGGCATCCAGCTAGAACTTCCCTGAATGGTTGAATCTGTTTCTAGAGTCACTGGCTCTAGAAGGAAGGACAGAACTAGGTTAGGGGCAGAAGACAGGAAGTCTCGTCAGTGGTTCAGGGCTGGGGAGAATCCTGTCCCACAGAAGCCCATGCAGCAGGGTCCAGGGAGTGTGGAGCGGGTGAGGCAGAAGCTCTTAGGAAGGGCCAGCCCCTAGCTGAATGGGGCATAGGTCAGGCTGATTGTGAGAACTTTAGACAATACCCCAGTCCCCAGGCATCTGTTCAGGTAGCACTGGTTTAGTGCTGCCTCCTTGTCTTTGAGCCATGACTGTTGTCTGGATAGTTCTGCAGGCTCAGGGTCTCCAAAGCATAAGAGGATTCAGGCCTTAATTTGAATCTCAAGGGCGAGGGGGCAGGGGGAGCCATTTTAGAGTAAGAGTCCCCTAAGAGCAAACACTAAAGTTCTCCCTGAGATTTCCACGCATAAGCAGTGGGAAGGGGAGTTGTTTTTTGATGTTTCCCACCCCAAAATCTTAGATGTAATCTGGCTGAGGAGATGCATTAACAGGGCCTCAATTATGTTATGGGGTGTGGCAATTTCAGACAAGGTTCCCCATTCTCCCACAGAAGTGAGGTCTAGGTCTTCTCGCATTAAAACTGAGTGAACCCCGTGGAAGATAGGCCATGTGACTTCCAGGGTTAGGTCACAAGAGGCCACACCCCAGGGCCTGTTGGGGTGTTGTTCTTTGGGTTTTCCTTCTGGGGGCCCAGCTCTCTGTGAAGCTGTGAGCAGTCTGATCCATAGGAAGTCACCTGTGGTGGCCGCAGATAGTACTGTCTTCTCTCACGGACACTGAAGTTCCTGTCCCTGTCCCCATTCCTGCGTCATCCCCAGATGTGGGCCCTTGTAGCTGCAACTCCAGGCTCCATCGCTATCACCTCTGTCCCAAGCCCCTCACCCTCCTGGCATGATAACCCCTAACCCCTGATCCCTAACATGATGAGGCAGCTGCTACTCTGTGCCCCAAAGTTGGTAGAGGTTTTAAGCAAAGCAGAAGCCCAGAGCCATGTGGTCCCACTGTCCATACCAGGGCTCTTTCATGAGATCACTGCCAAGCCCCACACCCAGTGGGTTGTTGTAGTGATATAGGGTGAATTAATGTAACTCCCCACCTGCGGATGTCAGATGTGCTGAGTTCCTGCTTCTCAAAATCGCACAGTGGGTTCTAAGAAACAACGGAGGCTAAGAGTAGGAGATATTTATTGAGAGAGATAACTTCTGAGAGACAGGAGGGGAGCTAGAAGTGGGTTGCCACAGAGGAAGTTTTACACAGCACAATCACGAGGTGGGTACAAAATCATGGGATGCGTACAATGTGGGTCAAAACTATGATCAGCCAATCAGATTAGTATAGTAGCTGCTTAGGTAATACTGATCAAGTGGGGAAGCAGTTCACGTAGCACTTACAGTGGAAAGAACTGGACCTTTTTAGGAAAGGATGGATCGGAAAGTCCTGGCCATCCACTTGGGTGACTGATGTCTATTTAGGCTTTCTTGGACTAGGTGATACCAATTATCTTCAATTTGTTGCTTATTCCCCACAGAGGCATGTAGGCCTGGTCATTCTGTCTTCATCTTGAAGCCCGGCCCCCGGCAGATGCGCCTCCAGCCACAGCTGTACTGTGTTCTCACCTTCTGCACTGACTCCTCCAGGGCCCAGCTCCGTCCGCTGAGGACTGTCTGACTGCCTAGACTATTTCTGCTGTGATACTAGGGCCAAACATTCATTAGAGTCACAAATCCCAGCCAGCGCTTGTGAGACTTGACCGATGGCTGATGTTTGCTGGAAGGTCACAGACCATTCTTTTCATGGGACAGCCACCCCTACAAGGCATGCGAGAGCTCAGATCCTAGTGTGCTGTGAGTTTGGGAAGCCCTCACTGAACCGTACTGGGGGACAATTTGCAGCCATGGTTGTCTTCCCCATTTCTCCCCACCCTTTACCCATCAACCCCTCACCAGTGTTGTTCTATCCAAGAAGAGCTGTCCCTCAAAGTCTATTCTAGCTTCCTGCACAGACCTCACAAATGGGGTTAGAACCTCTCACCTCCGATTGGCTGAGCAGGTGAACAGGGACCCTCATTTCTTGGGGGTGGGATGGACACAAGAGCCTGAGCAGGCAGACCAGGATTTGAGAGTGGCTCTGGCCTCACTGCTTCTGAGCCCAGAGGCAGCTTTGCCTATGTCTCTACATCTCAGTTTCCCCTTCTGTAAAACAGGGACTAGGCTGAGTCCCTTGCGAGGTGTTGCCCTCTTCTGTCAACTGCTGTAGGTCAAGTAGCCTTGAAGCATCTCCATGCAGTTGGACACGAGGCCCAGGTGAGTCTTAGGAGACAAAGCAAGGACATTTCATGGTCTCATGGGGATGTTAGTTAGTCTACAGCTTTGCCTGTTGCATTAGACCCAAATGACAGTGACTTAAACAAGATGAAACCTTAGTTTCAACTTTTTCTTAGTTACCCTTCTAGGAGCAGAATGGAGCTCAAGTCAAAGTCTCAGGCTGTCTTAGCCAAGCCAGGCGACCACTACAACCTCTGTGCTCGAGCAAGAGAGGGACAAGGCAAGAACTGTATTAGAAGCCTTGATCTTCCTGCTGGCATCTGTGACATCCTCAGCTGCAGAGGCTGCTGGGAAAATATTAGGACTTATTGCATCTATAGATGGGACAGCTGGTGCTGGAGGCAAAAAAGGGTCTGATATGTCAGGCAAGGAGTCAGGCAAGGGGGCATGGGGGCCCAACCTTTGTTGGTCATCCCGGATTAGCCTCTGTGTGCAGCAGGAGAGTAATAACTGCTGCCTGAGTCACTGGGAGGGAGGGCTAGATGTTTAGTTTTAATTTTCTTTCATTTTTTAATTAGTACATGTTTGTAGTACAATGATTACATTCGTGTGGGGAGTTGGTCCAGGTATACAACGCATCTTAATTCTTTTTGCATCCCCTCCACCACTTCCTCCACCTCTTGGGTCCCTTTCCTTTGGATGTTTAAATTGAAGCACAGGAAGGGTGCAAAACCAGGGTGGAGTTACAGAGACTAAGGACGGCCCACCCTCAAGGAACAGCTCATTCCTGAGCGGACTCAGCCCTTGGGAGGCCAAGCTTTGATGTATGGGGCTGGCTACAGCCTCTGGCACTCTGAGTTCTGAGCCTAATCAGGGCATCCTGCACCAGGAGGCTGTGTCCTTGGAGTGCTGGCCTCTCCTGGAGGGTGTTTCTGGAGCCGTGTCCTCAGTGTTGGTCAACAGTCATGTGAAATATGCTTTCCTTTCACTGCCAAAATGTTTTTCTAGGACATAGCCAATTGATCACATCACGCCTCATTCCTCACATCAGAGCCATGTAAGCAGTTTTTATTAGAGTGTATTGTAAGGGCAAAACTTTGTCTCCACAGAGCAAATAGACTGCTTCCTGCAGATAGTAAGGGGTCGGATTTCTTCTTCTGGCCTGGCTGCCTGGAGACTTCCTCATAGCCTCTGTTGCCAGGCAGGCCTTTTATATTCCATTCCCAGGGCCTGGCCTTTAGTTCTATGTGTTAGTTATGAATTTGAAATGTGCTACCTCCCACGTTCTCCCTAGAAAGAAGCAGGCTATCATTAGTGATAAAATAGAAAACAAGAGATCCTTAATTGGAAGAAAACAAAACCAGCAGCCGTGAGGGGTGGTGCTGTTGCTGACTGGAGTACTGGTGTAGACTTGAGTTTCCCAGCAGCAGGGGGGAAAGGGGAGTGGCTAGGAGACCCGCTCTGAAAGAAGCAAGCAGTGTGGGGAGAGTTTCAAGGCAGCAAAACAGGAAGCCCTGAGATGACAAGGTGGGGTGCGGTCTGCAGCACCCCAGAGTGCGGGCAGATGAGGGGCCTGGGCACTGATTTCAGTTCTACTACTGAAGCTGTGTGACCCTAGACAAGTCACTCAGCTTTTCTGGGCATCAGTGTAGTAATAGAAACTGCCACATGGTGTTGGGAGAGTTTGCTGTTTGAGTTTATACACAGGAGAGGGAAGAATAGAGCCTGGTGCTTAGTAAATGCCCCATAACTGGGAGCTTGCATTGTGTTTATTATGGTTGGAGGAGGGACGGGGAGGAGGAAGAGCAGGTGCTCCAGAGGCATCTGGCTCTGAGCAAAGCTGCCAAAGTTGCAGAAGTGGAGTGTGGGTAGGATGAAGCTGTGTAAACCGCCAGTGTGTTCTGGCCCTCAGAAGATGGAGCCTGGGATTCCAGCAGGGAGTCAGGGTGGGTGCTGGCCTCCGCTGCTTCAGGCGCTGCATCCCAGGCCGGCCTCACTGTGAGCTGCTGGGTCCTGCATTGCATCCCTCTTCCCTCCTCTTGCCCTGGGGTGGGAGCAGGGCTGGATTCCGAGGCGCACTGGCCCTTTGAGGCAGGCCCTCAGGCTGACCCTGATGATAAATGGGCCCTGATCCAAAGGAAGGTGGCCTGGTCCTTTCACTGTGAGGACAGGCTGGGAACAGAGTGTTCCTTCCAAACACCCAGGGGACTTGAGGGTGGGCACTGACAAAGGCCAGGCCTCTGTTAACCACGTGACTGTCAGGCAGTTAGGATTGGGAATTAGGCCGCAAGCAGGAGCTCTAGAGATCAGAGATGTTAGGACCCTGGAGATCAGGGGGGAAAGTAGGAGACAGGGAGGAGGGTCAGTCAGGGAGGCTGAGAGGAAAGGCTATAAGGACACTTTGGGAAGTGATGGGAACTTATTATCTGGATTGCAGCAATGGTATCAGGAGGTATGTGATAGAACTGTGGGGGGAGAAAGAGGAGGAGGAGGACCGGCAGCGGCTGAAAAGATAAGAAGTATGAAATATAAATAACCTTAATTTTGGGAATGCGGGGAGAGACAACCCTGACCCCCTGGGGCGTGGCATCTCCATCCCGGGGTGGCTATCTCTCCGTGGAACACGTGGAGTGAGGCACATAAGTACCTCGGCTTGGGGTGGAACCTAAGGGGGCATTAGGGATGCACAGGTAGCCCATTGGTCTTAGTTTGGCGCCAGAGGTAAATTCCTAGGGGTGGGGGGAGATGGGAGCTTCCTGGCTTTACCGGCTACAGTATTCGGCCGGGCCAAAACTCTTTCAGTGTGTTTTATCCAAACCATCAAGCTGTGTGCACTCAGCATGTGCATGTTTCTATATATAAGTTATATCATAATGAAGCTGTAAAAAAAACTTCCATAACTAAGAAAGTGATAACTCGGTAAGAAAACATGAGTGAGAATTAGACAGCCACGTTATAAAGGATATTACCCAAATGGCTAGTGGCAAAAAGTGAAAACATGGTTTACCCTTAACGATCATTAGGGATATGAAAAAGCACCATGAGGTTTCCACCAGCCTGACTAAAACTAAAAAGATGAACAAGCATTAGTGTTGGTGAGGATTTGGAGCAGCAGAATTTCTTACATGCTCCTGGTGATTGTATAAGTTGGTAGAGTCACTTTGGAAAATAGTTTAATGTTAAGTTTCTCTCTGTCTCTCCCCCTCCTTCCTTCCCTCCCTCCATTTTTCTCTTCCTCCTTCCCTCCATGCATGTGCTTGCTTGCCTGCCTGCCTCCCCCCCCCCCCCGCCCATCCCTTACAGTGGGAACAGAGACTCCCTGGAGGGGACAGTGGGAGGAGACTGAACACCAGCTGAACACCAACTCCTGGCAGGGCTGCTGGGAATGGGGTCAACTCACTGGCCTGGTGGATCCGGACCCTTGGAATGAGATGGCCCACAGCAAGCTGAAATGCCAGAGCTGCTGTGGCAGTGGAGGAAGGGAATGAGAGCTCTGGGAAGGGCAGTGTAGGATGGGTAGACTATGTACAGCCAGAAGATCATCCACATCGTGACACATGGTTCTTGGGAAGGACCAAAGGTCACAGTGCTTATACACCAAGGGCCAAAGAAATGAACTGGTGAGAGGCCACGGGCCTTATACACTCTGAGGAGGCTTCTCCTCTGCAGGTCAGGCTGGTGATAGCTCTGGGGGACAGGGCTTGATTGGCAGGGACTGGAGGTGCTGCTTGACAGAATGAAATGAGTGCAGGGATCTGCAGAGAGCTGGGGATGCTTACAGCATGTGGGGGCCCTCAGGTAAGAAGACACACAGCCAGTCTGGAAAAGCCAGGAAGGTGTACAAGAACTGGGCAGCCTGTGGCTTCACTCAGGTTCTAGACCTAGAGACAAAGGAGAAGAATAAAGGAGGAGGAAACAGCTCTTTGAGAAATCACCAGTGACACTGCAGCATGCACAGTCTCAGCAAGACTTTCAGCCATTTACATGGACAGCTGTATTGTGGGAAAGGGGAAAAACTCAAACATTTAAGTCTTGTAGGATGTGTCCAGATAGTGGTGGCCTGTGTTTCACTGAAACTTCTCCTGGGCTGGGGGATTCATCGTCCTCCCTGAGTATGACAACTCATTTATTCATTTATGTTTTGGGTACTGGGCATTGAACCCAGGGTTTTGTGTAGGCTAAGCAAATGCTCTACCATTGAGCTACATCCCTGGTCCTTGTTATTTTATTTTGAGTCAGCATCTTGGTAAGTTACTAGGCTGGGCAACTTGCAATTTTCTTGCCTCCGCCTCTCAAGTAACTCAAATTACAAGTGAGTACCACCATGCCCAGGATGGTGATTCGCTTCTAGTGAATGGGAAGATGACTGTTATGGTTTGTGTTTAAATGTCTCCCCAAAGCCTCATGTAGTCATGGGGATGGGCCTTTTGAAGGCAGCTGAACCTAGCGTTTGTGATTGGTTTGTTGTCTAGCCCTGGGATTGGCAGCGTGAGCACTGTGCCTGCCCAGCTGTGGGGAGCTGGCCTACAATATAGGGGAGGGAATGAGGCGGGCTTTTCCCTTTTGTCCCTTCCACTGCTGTTGCTGGTGGCCACCATGCCCTTCAGCCATGCTACCCTGCCTTAGAACCAGCTGGGTATGGACTGAAACCTCTAAAAACTGTAAGCTAAATAAACCTTTCCTTCCTTCATTTTGGGCATTTTGGATTGGGCATTTTGTCCCAGCAATGAAAGGAAAGTAACCAAGACAATGACTCACTTCCAAGGCGAGCTAAGGAATAGGCAAAATTCTCTGAAAAGGGCTGAGTAAATGTTCTTGGCCTTGTGATCTAAGTGGCTTCTTTTTGATTTCTTAACTCAGCCACCACAATGGGAAATTAGCATAGAGGCCACCTAAAAGAACAGGTGTGTCCAGATTTGGCTAGACTGGGTTGGCTTTAGCCAACAGGTGTAGCACACTGACTCCTGGTCTCATTTGTAAGGGCTCTGTGACTCTTGGTGGGACTCAGCTTCCATATCACGAGGACATGTGCAGCCTGTAGAGAGGTCCATGTGGGCTCGGCTGAGGACCTGAGCCCTTCTGTGAGTAGCCATGTGAGGAGTTATATCAGAAACAGGCATGCCTCTGTAATGCCTCCAGATGACAGCCAACCCTGCCAGCCTCTTGACCACAGTGAGGAGGCCTGGGGCCACCAGCAATGAAAACAAAATGAACAGGAGAGAAGGGCTCAAGGCTCCTCAGCTGGTCCTTTTTATTTTTATTCTGCAGCTGCCCCAATGCCTTGCAGTTAGCCCAGGAACCTTGAGGCCTTTCTGGAAGATATTTGCTTTAGCTGCAGCGGGCTTTGGATGTGGATGTATCCAGGTTGACTGCCCTGTGGCCCCTCTGGGTGACTTTCCCCCTCTGCAGCCCTCTTCGGTCAAGTCTACAAGGAGCCCCTTCTCTACCAGTGATGGCCTATACAAGCCAACCCCCCATTCCCTTAATGGGTTCAGTTGTCCCCTTGTGCTGCAGTGTAAGTCCTAATAGATCCTCTTCTGGATTACATATATATATATTCTTTTTTTTGCCTATGTATGATTTCTATTTTGAGCAATGCTTGTTGATCTGCTAGCACCAAGAACTGATAACCCCAAAGACCTCTAATATTGAACACAGCCAGCACCGGCACCCAGACCTTCTAAGTTTAAAAGTTATTGGTGCTAAAAGTGGCCGGTGGCTGGGGCTCATAGTATTGAAGGCAGCTCGCAGCCAGAGCACTTTGGAGAAAAACAGAATTGCAGGACCTGCTATCTCTGGTCACAGGAAGAGTTCTGAGGATGCTAATGGTTGCTGGTTGCTGGTAGAAGCAAGGAGGCCAGTAATACTAACAACTGATGGCCACCAGCATTCATAGCTCAGGTGGTTAACACTGAAAGAGCTACAGTTGGCCAATTAGTGACTTCTACATGAATTGAGCAAGAACCCACGGCCATTTGGTAACATCTTAGCCTGTACATGGAGCCTCCCCCATAGAGAACTCTAAAGAAGAGGGCAGCTGGTGGCGATAGTCATAGTGGCTCAAGAATTGGCCCAGGCCTGACTGCTACCTAGGAATCCATCTTAGTCAGTGACAGTATGAAGGATGAAAGGGGCACAGGTAGGCAGGTGTCATAGGCAAAGTCTGGGTTAAAATTGCTTATAATTTATTACATACCTAGTGGTTATTTCCGAGTGTATAATTGGGGTTGACACACTTGGAACAAGTGGAAGTCTTACATTGAATCCTTGGTTTGTGGGGTAGGGCTGCCAGAGGGGAAAAGGCCAAGTGGAGCGCTCCACAATGCTCCTCACCACCCCTAACCAAGGGTATAAATTAAAAACCAATCTCTCTTGCAGGGATGATCATTAACGCCATCCTTCAGCATCCAAAGGGCTCAGAGGTAATGGTCCCTAACTCACCTACCTGGTCTCAGCAGAAACAGGCACAACCTGGCAGAAGGATGAGGTCACCACCTATGTGACCAAGCAGGAGCTCCACTTAGAACTGCCCTGCCAGCTGTGGGGTTGGCTAGAAAAGATGGGCCTTGCTGCAGATACTTAGCATATAAACACCGATTGTACAGATGTGTTCTCTTCCAATCCAATCAGCAAAGAGGATGATGAGACAGCGCTCACGGGGCGAATGGGGCACTAGTACACTTGGCAACTTTGCCAAGGATTGTTCAAATCTCCTGCGCTCGCTCTCTCTCTCTCTCTCTCTCTCTCTCTCTCTCTCTCTCTTTTTGTTACTAACGATTAAACTCACAACCTTGCACTTACCAGGCAAGCGCTTGAGCTACTGAGCTATCCGGGAGGTCTCAGCAACACACAGGGGCTTCCAAGGGATGGGAGATAAATCCCACAAAGAGCCAGTGGACTGTGAAAACTGGAGAGTCTTCAGGTGTCCAGTGATCAGAGAGCAGGATGTCTCTCCTAAAGCAACTGAAGGGGGAATTGGGAGATCTCTTCTCTGATGCATTATTTGGAAGTATTTGAGGTATTCTAGTGGAGATGTGAGTGGGCCAGGCTGAGTCTGGAGCTCAGCCCATGTGTCTCTTGTGCGTGTCACTGGGGGGAATGGAGCCAGCGTAGGTATCTATCATCACTGACTTTCACTGCCATCTGTACTTGTGATGCTTTCTAGTCTTGGCATCTCTCTCCGTCTCTACCTCTTGCATTTCCCTGATCACTGCCTGTCTCCTGTGACCCACTGCATTCACACAATCAGGCCCACAGTGTCACTGCTGAGCTCCCAGGGCTGGGGGGAAGCAGCAGGGAACTCTTGCCCATGTGGCATAGGCAAAAGCTGGGCAGTGTTTGTCCAGGAGCTTCAGGGCCCTGTTTTCTGAGCCCTTGATGCCTTCTGCTCTCTGCTGGCAAATCTGCTTCCTTTTTAGTAGAGCCTGGGCACAAGGAGACTGGCAGAGCTTGGGTTCCAAGCTGATCTCTGCCCTGACCTTGTGGGAAAAGGCTTTTCCCTTCTCTGGGTCTCAGTTTCTTCATGTTTCAAACTGGGTAATTAGATCCATTGACCTTTCAGGCCCCGTCCAGCCCTGCTGTTCAGTTCCCACCCAAGGAAGGTTAAAGGTGGGCAGCCTTTTCGCAGCAGGGTTTTCACGTTAAACACTGTTCATTTCTTGTGGGGCTGTCCTAATATTATCACTAGCCTGACAGTTCCAGGGGCCAATCAAGGCATCTGAAGGCTCCTGGGCATATTTTTCCTCGCCTCTCCTGACTTCCAGCAGCTGTAGCGTCCCTTGGCTGTGGTTGCCTCCCTCTTAACTGTGCCCCCCCTCCCCAACTCCTTCCCCTCCTCCGTGTCCATGCCTTTGTTTCTGGCTTCCAAGGACATCTGTTATTGCATTTAGAGCCTTCTTTGCAATACAGTGACCTCCCTGGGAACTTTTGCATTCCATCTACAAAGACATTGTGCCACATTAATCCCAGGTTCTGGACATGGGTTATCTTTCCAGGTCATCATTTACCCACTACAAGGACTAATGTTTTAGATCTCAGCAATCTGTCCCTGTGAGTGAGAAGAGAGAAGAGGAGAGGGCCTTGTGGGCTCCTAAAGATCACTGAAATGACTGAAGCTTGCCTGGCCGCTGCCTCTGCTGCAGGCTGAAATGCACCTCTCCCAGTCTCCTAGGACTGCGAGTTACATGGGCCGAGGGGCTGAGACAGCTGCCGAAAGGGGGGACTGAGCAACGGGGCTGCAGAGCCAACAGGCAAGGAGTGGGCATCGCTGTCATTGGGCTTGTTAACTCCCACCTCTTCTGGCTGGTGGGGTGGGGTGGGGGTGGAGGTGTCTGCCAAATACCTTGGACAGACAGATTTTTCTCCATTGGCTCACATGCCTCTCAGCTCAGGCCCACAGTGCTAGCTCATTGGTTGGCCCAACTGCCAACTCTGACTGGGACACAATCCTGGCCAATTACGTCCCAAGGCTCCCTGCTCCTGGTAAGGAACATCTAACCACTTTCAGAGTCTGCCATCACAGCAAGCCACTTTGCCTCTCCAGCCTGTGAAAACAGAATTCCTTTCCTAAAATGCTTTCCCTGCTGGCTGTTCCTTGAAGCTACCTTTAGACGCTCTCCCTCTGGGCTCTTTCTGACACTGCCCTCTCTTGGAATGAATCTCTTCCTTCCAGCAACCCAGACCCTAGCTATCTGTAAATCCCAGCTCTGTGACTCTTCTTGTAAGCAGCCTTTGCAGGTTCCCAAGGTGGACGTGACCATTTTGTATCCTGTCTCTCTTTTAAGTCACGTCCTGCTTTCCATCTTGTCCCCTTGCTATTTATGCACAGGTCTCCTTTCTAATACTGAGGTCACCCCTGTTGTCAAGAGCTGCATCAGTTCACTTTTATTATTATTACTGTTTTAGCTCTCTTTTAGATCTAAGCATCTCACACAGTGTTTAGCACATAGCATTTGCTTTCTTTTCCAAGTGTGGGCTGGAGATGCAGCTCAGTGTACAGCATTTTGGCTACTGCGTGTGAAGCAAACAAATGTGGAGGCCCAGCCTGACACAGTACAGAGCAGGTAATAATTAATATGAATAAATTGACACAAAAATAAATTGAGAGCCTGTCCTAGGCCTACATGGCTTTGTGGTGAGACCCCTGGCTGGCTTAAGGACCGATTAATCTTTAAACCAATGCCATTGCTTCTTGGCCTTTTGGCTGAGATCAAGTGAAGCTGCTGGCCAGAGCTGAGGCTGGCAAATAGTCTGCGAAGTTGTGGCACCACAAACCAAGATAACAGGACCATGGAAGACTTGACTTGCAAATTCTGTCTAACACAGTAGTCAAAGTTAGCAGACAATCAGGTTAGTAGTTAACCCCGATCTGTTCCTGTGTGCTTTTCCAAAAATGCATTGTTCCTCAGTTCTTAAACATTGAATTGCAGCGGGTTCACCTGGCAGTTCACCTCCATTGATTCCTGCAGCCCACCAGCACACCCCGAATCATGCTGTGCATCAGAAAAAGGCAAGGACACCAGTACCACATGTCCTAGCCCGTCACTGGACTTTGATCTTCCAGATGCCCTTTGTAACTAAAATATATGTTTTTTCTGGGTTTTATTCTGTTGTACTTCTGAGCAGATTGGTGGGCCTAGGCCAAGGCCCTGATGAACAAACAAACAAACTCAAATGAGTAAAATATCTCTTTGCAGTTCTTGCGTATTGCTGTTCAGTAGCTCCAGCGGCAGGATTCTAAAATACAGCCACACAGCTTTCTGACCTTGGAGTTGATCTCATTCTCTGGTGGAATGGAGTTGGTGCAGGAACAAGCTCAGGTTTCCTTGCAGGTCTTTTCCTCTGGGATGGCTGTGGTTCACTGTGGGTGGTCTGAATCCTTGTGTGATGAAGAGTCAGTTTGAAATGTTGAAAACTTTATCTTAAAGAATGAATGAACTAGGTGCGTTCATGCAGCCTATAATTCCAGCTACTTGGGAGGTGGAAGAAAGCGGATGGCAAATTTGAGGCCACCTGGGCAGCTTAGTGGGACCATGTCTCAAAATGGAGTTAAAAAGAGCAGCTCAGTGACAGGGTACTTGCCTAGCATGCTTGAGGCCCAAGGTTCAACTCCTAGTACAGAAATGCATAAAGTGAACAACACAAAACAATTAATGAAATTCAAACAGCATATTTTATATCTGTAAGTTATCACACACAACTTTTTTTGTTTTGAGACAAGGTCTTCCTTTGTCATTCAGGCTGAACTCACTATGTGTCCCAGGCTGGCTTTGAACTAGTGATGATCCTTCTGCCCTAGCCTCCTGAGTGCTAGGGTTGTAGGCATGTACCACTATGCCTGGCTCATGTGCCACCCAGCATAAGGCAAAGACAAGGGACTACGGGAAGCCTGAGGAACTGTCAGGTCTCAGAGCTCTGCATGTTGCCTGTGTTCATGCTACCTAGCAACTGAGATCCTTGCACAAAAGACAAGGTTTCAGTTCTGTTACAAGCTGTCTTCTGATTGGTAACCAGATTAAGGAGACTCGATGAGCAAAAGCTGAATGACATCTGTATGGGCAGCAGGGAGCTGGTTTTTTTTTTTGAGATGTGATCTTACTGTATTGCCCAGGTTGGTCTCAACCTCCTGAGCTCAACAGATCTTCCTGCTTCAGCCTTCAGAGTAGCTGGGACTACTGACATGCACCACAACACCTAATTAGTATAGGATCTTCTTCTTTTTAAAATCTTAGGCATGGCTGTGGCAGCCCCAGAGAGAAAACCACCAGTTGTTTCCTGAGCTCTGTGCCGTGTTGGAACTTAGGATGCTGGGAAAACAAGCAACCAGCTCACCTCCCTGGTAAGCAATAGTGAGCCTACCGGTGCACAGGCTTAGAGTCAAACATTCCACACACCCCCCCCCCCCCCCCGTTAGCAAATGGGAGCCAGAGATCTGAGCATCTCTTGGGAGGCTGACCATATGCAATATAGCAAATAAGGGGGGTTTCCTTCTACCATCTTTTTTTTTTCTTTTTTATCGGTACCAGGGATTGAACTCATGACCACACACTTGCAAGGCAGGTGCTTATGCCACTGAGCTAAATACCCAGCCCCTCTACCATCTTTTTTGAAGGCAAATATTTTTACTATTTTGCTTTATTCTGATTAATGGTACTGTTCTATTCAATGTTCTGTTTATTAAGTTCTATAATGTTTTGTATTCCATTTTATTTTGCTATAAGGAATTGAAAGAACAACTATTGTGATGATGAAATATACTGTGATACCTACTGCTGTTATCCTGGTAACCTGCTGTGGAGTTCTGTACCAATTTCTCTACATTGTCTCAATTGGCTTTGTTCTGTCTTGTTCTGTTGTATTTTACTACCTTCAAAATAATAAAATAAAATAAAAAATAAAATCTTAGGCAGGAGGATTGCCACAAGTTCAAGGCCAGCCGGGGTTACGTAGTGACACCCTGTCTCAAGATTTTATTAGCATATATTTTCAATTCATGCCGTTTACAATTGTGGGGAGTGGTTACACGCATATATCACAGCTGTTTTTTTTTTTTTCTCTAATCCCGTCCTTTCCTCTCCCCCCTCCTCCTTTTGTCCCCCATCACCTTTTACATACTTGCTGATATTACTTGTCTTAGTTCATGTTATGGCAAGAAAATGATAAAGGATGGACAGAAAGAGACCAGGGACAGATCTCCAATAGGGAAGTGATCCAGGGAACAAGGATCCCAAGCTCCTCTGGGTCCCTCCACCACTGCACTAAAGGTCCTGTAGTGCTTTTTATTGCCACCAGATGGCGTAACAGCACCACGGTTAGGGTCCCAGGACACGGGAGGAAAGGCATTTTGTGTTTTGAAGGCTGATGGAAGAAAGAAATGCTTTACATTGAGAGGTGAAACTCTGACCCCAAATTAACAGAGTTAAGTTGATTCATTTATGTATGTGACATGAATAACAGAGCCTAACTTGAAGGTGTTTGGGGATAGCTATACAATTTACTGCATGGGAAGAACATAGAACAGCATCCAGCATACACTCAGTGAAATCAAATATTCCTTTCGTTGTCCACCTGCTTTGCAGTGGCCTGGCTCATCCTTGAGAGCAGGGACTCCCAGGGGGGCAGGTGGGTGGATGAATTGGAGCTTGAGCTGTCTAGGAACGGGATAGCCAAGTGTGGTGGCACACATATGTAATCCCAGCACTCTGGGAGGCTGAGGCAAGAGGACTGCAAGTTTAAACCCAGCCTGGCCAGCTTGGTGACTCAGTGAGACTCCAGCTCAAAAGAAGAAAGGCTTGCCAGATGTGGCGGTGAGTGCCCATAATCTCAGTGGTTGGGAGGCTGAGACAGGAGGATTGCTGCAAATTTGAGGCCAGCCTGGGCTACATAGTGAGCTCAAGGTTAGCCTGACCCTGTCTTGAAAAACAAAACAAAACAACAACAAAAACAAACAAACAAAAAGTGCTGACCAGAGCCACTTCATGGAGTTTGGCATGCTACTCCAAACAATGTAGAATGTGCCTTCGTTCTTTGTTTTTTTTTGAGGCAAGGTCTTGCTTTGCAGTTCAGGCTGGCTTCAAACTTATGTCGGTCCTCATGCTTCAGTTTCCCAAGTGCTGGGGTTATAAGCATGTACCACCAGGTGCTTGGTTCTTCTTCTTTTTTTGGTACTGGGAACTGAACTCACAACCTTGTGCTTACCAGGCAGGTACTTGAGCCACTGAGCTAAATCCCTGGCCTTGTGCCTGAGTCCTAACACACTATGTGACCCTGGGCAGGTTACTTAACCCCTAATCTCAATCTCCTCAGTCTCTCTTGTTACAGGAATAATGCAGGGCAGAGTATCATGCCCAGAATATATGGGGCGGCACAGGGTAATGACTGCATGATATATTGGGTGTCAGTGCATTTGGAGCCTGGGTTGGTCACAGAGGTGGGAGCTGTGTGCTGCATCAGGTGCCTGGGGAGAGCGGGGAACGAGACGATGGATGAGCAGGCCCTGTGTCCCACCTGGGGGCCCAAAGGGTGCTTGTGGTCTCTTAAAAGATAGGGGACCAGGAGTGGTGGTGCACACCTGTAATCCCAGCACTTGGGAGGCTGAGGCAGGAGGATTGTTGTGTTTGAAACCAGCCTGGGCTACAAAGTGAGCTCAAGTCCAGTATGAGCCTAGCTAGACCCTGTCTCAATAAGAAAAAAAAAAAAAAAATAGAGGTTACGGGCATTGGGACCAGGAGATGAGGGAGCCTCAACTGTAATGATCTTGGGCTATGGATTTTAAGCTATGGGCTTTCGGCATGGAGTTTAGAGAGGCAAGAGTTGCTTCCATCCTTGGCCACTAAGGCGTTGAGGCTAAGGACTCAGCCAGCCACTGGAAGGGGCTGGGTGCCTGCTTCAGCAGAGGAAGGGCCCTTGTGCAAAACTATGTCTTTGAAATAATGAGGGGAGCATCATGATAGACAGCCCGAGGCCTTGCACCACAAAGAGGGACTCTGGAGTCCCTCTGATTGTTGACGTCAAAGTGACCAGTTTTTACCCCCTGTTACAGTGCCTAGCAGATACTAAGTGCTCAACAAGTGGAAGTAATGTACTCTGTATCCTCTGCATGTGTCGTGAGGCACCTCACAGGAACTGTGTCTGATAGAGACACAGCTGGGTAATAACAAGGACCAGGCGAAGAAGGGGGCCCCAGAAGCATCTTACCCACACCAAGCCCATTTTGAGAAGAGAAGATTTGCCCAAGGTCTGGCTGGAGGCCAGAGGGGAAAACAGTGGGCCATAGGAATCTCCTTGCTCCCTGCCATGTCCTTGACTACCCAGAGCTACAGACAGGAGAGTTCGCTTCTGGCCTGTCTCCCCTAGGAATCTACTCAGGACCCTCACACCCAGCACATCCAAAAGGAGATGTGCAGGCACCTTCCTAGGGCCCTGTTCTGCCCATGCCCCTCAGTGCCACCTTCTCCAGTTCCAGCCCAGCCAAGGCCCGAGTCCATGCTACCGCTGTCGTATGCTCCTGCCCTCTGCGGTCCTTCCCCTGTGTGTTCCTGTCCTGCCCTTTCTCTCCTCGCTCTGGTTTGGCCCCTGGTACTCAGTAGTCAATAACGGTTGTGGTTGGGTTTCAGTGAGTGGTGGACTCCCCGCTTTGGGCCCTGTGCCCTGGCTTAGGTCTGGGTCTCTGTCTGTCCAATTCTCACCAGCAGGGGACGCTCCTCCCCCGCGGAAAACTTGCACCAGCTCCTAGTCCGGGCTGTGCGAGGCCGTGCGAGGCCGGGGAGCCTCTGGATGTGGATGGCCCAGCCTGCAGGACCGGTCTGGACCCTGCTGGCAGAGGAGGAAGGGTGCGGGGAGGCTGGAGACCAGGGTTTTGGAGGAGCGCGTCTTTGTAGGTGCGGGGAGCAGCATGCTATGGCAGGGGCTGTCTAGAGGTGCCCTGGCTCCCTCTGCTGCTGCCCTCAAGCCTGGAGGGTCCCCTGCAGCGGCTACCACACTTGCCTGAAAGACAGATCCTTGGGAAGGATCTTCTTCACCACGTGGAGCTGGCCCAGCCCCCTTGGAAAGGGAGGCTTTGGGATGTAAGCCTCACTGTTCCACTTGGTTTTAAACTTCAACTGCTATGGCCTCAGTGTCCTTGTAGTAAGAAAGAGGACACTGACACCCATGCCACAGGGCTGTCTTGATGACTGGAGCTGGCGGGGAAGCATTTAGCCCCTGTCCACATAGGGACAGGAGGAATGGAGGTACCAGGTGAATTCACAGCCCTGTCCTCTGCTTCCCTGCCCAGGGAGTAGCAGTTGTGACCAGAGTCCGGCTCAGAGCCTGGAGGATGACAGAGACCCATGCCCAGGTGCAGCACAGGGCCATCAGAGTTGGTCACAGTGGAGAGGTGGAGGGGGACCCTCGGACCCTGCTGTGACCCCCACACAGCCTGTGGGGCCTTTAGTGGGGCGGGGGGCTCTGTGGAGGGGCAGAGCTGGGGTGTTGTAGGGTATTGACCTTTGGGTGTTTTGGCAGTCGTTTTGAGGTCCTGGCTTTGACTCCTGCCCTGAGGTTTGGGTGCCTCCAGGTCTGGGTGGAAGAGAGGCCTGGACCCTGCACTATAGAAGGCTTCTAGTTGGGCAGGCACAGTGGCACTGACTGCCCCAGCTCTGCAGAGAGGCAGGCCAGGGGTCCCTAGTTTGATTGACTCAGGGAGTCTTTGACTGAAGCCACGGGGAGCCCCTGGGGCGAGGGGCTTGTGGTGTGGGCAGAACCTGCTGTTCTCACCTGGGGATAGGTGCTGTCCCTCGCCCTGCCTCTCTGTGGTGATTCCGAGCCTGGGCATGTGGGAGCTACCCCACACTAGTCTGGGTCCATGCCCTGCCTAAGCTCTCAGGCAGCGAGGTTCCTGAGAGGCAGTGGGGGAGCTGTAGAAGTGGGGTTCTTGAGGCAAAGGGAGTTTAAGATAGGGCTGGTGATGAGGGCAGAGGCAGTGCAATGCTCCTGGGATGTGGGGTAGGGATTAGGGTTAGGGGAGGGCTTGCTTAGGAAGGGAAGTGTTGGGGAGCTGCTGTGGGTTTGGGACAGGTATTTGACACTGGGATTTGGGGTACAGTGTGGTATGAGAGTTAGAGAGGGGACTGGTTTGAGGCTCATTGGTGAGGCTTAGGCATAGAGCAGCCCAGACTTTGAAATGGCTTTAAGGGGGAGTTGGGGTAAGGTATAGATTTAGGGTGGGGGCCAGTTCAGTGTCAGGGGAGCTGGGGTGAGCGTGCAGAGCAGTGTTGGACACAGCTTGGGGCCAGGCTGGGCTGGGGCAGGTGAGGTAGGCTACAGAACAGGCTGAGTACCCTGGGCTTGTGGAGGGTTCGGAGGACCTGGCGGTGCTGGCCTGTGGAGTCTGTGCTGTCCCTGTTGTCTGGTTGCTCTCAGCTGTGGTCTTGGTTGGGGTCCATGATGGCAGCAAGATCCCACCACCCTCTGCATCAGATTTGGCCCCTAAGGTGTACTGCAGCTTTTCCAGGGCCTGGTGTCTGCTGTGGCAGGTGCTGCAAGGGACCTGGGGCCTCTAGTCCCTCCGTACCAGGGGACGCAGTATCCCCAACCCACCTGCTACCTGTTCCCTTACTGTAGACTCTTGTCTAGCAGTTGAGGCTCCTTTGAGCTGCTGCATGAGGCATGGCAGGTTGAGCCCTGTCCTCCCACAAGCCTCACCCCCATCTCTCAGTGGTGTACCTCACAGTTCTTAACTAGGGTAGTCACGTGAAGGCCTGGCTGTCTCACCTTGTGGTGATTCCCATGCATTGGAGGGCTAGACTTCAGGGCCAGGGTGGGGGCTCTGTCCAAAGTGGTCCCTGTCCAGAGACCAGCTGGCCCATGGTCTTCATAGAGTACCCTCCCCCTCTGCCTCCATTTCCCTCCAGGTCCAGCCTCCCAGGCTGGTGCTTTGCCTCCTGGGCTTATTT